ATACATATGCAGAGGCAACCTTAAGTCGGGCACTTCCTAACTTTTGAGCGCTTGACTTTGCAACCTTAATGTTCTTTTAGCATAGTTGTAGTTGATGTAATGTTTAATTACAATGCACTGATTTTTATATCTGTTAAATGGATTCATGTAGATCAGAGGTCCCCAAACTGTGGGGTATTCCCCCCTCAGGGGGCATGGAGGAACATTCAGGGGGGCACGGCTGGGCCCGGACTAGCTCCCATGATGGGCGGGGAGGGAACGCCACCCAGCCCTGCTCTGCCACCAGCTCTGCTCCAGCCGCACCCAGCTCTGCTCCTAGCTGCGGCCCTGGCTCCTGGCCCTGTGCCCATCTCCACTCCCAGCCCGGTCCCAACCCCCAGCCTCGGGCCCCGGCCAGGGCTCCACTCCCAGCCCTGCCCCCAGACTTGGATCCCAAAAGCAGCCTCGGCCCCAGCCTTGCCCGCAGCTGTGCCCCCAGCCTTGGCTCCCTTACCCCTATCCATTGCCTCCCTCCTGGAGGGCGTGGACCAGGGTTAGGGGGGAGTGTGACCCTGAAAAGTTTGGGGACCACTGGTTTAGATCATCAATCAATGAGATATCAAATAGTTCAACTGAGATGGTTTTATTAAGTCATATTGTTCTAACTAAAGATCGCTTAGCACAAATACAGAAAGTGGGAGGTCAAGATTGCTCTAACTTACTCTGCCAGGGATGCAAGTTGCAGTGGTCACTGTTCCAGATTGGTTATTTCATGTTTTATTTTTGGTTTTTATACTCTACATTTACTTCTTTCTTGAACGTGCAGTTAGCTATACACCTAGCATCATCCAATCACCATCAAATGTCATCCTTGCAGTCAACAGTCTAGAGCAGTGGTTCCCAGACTTGTTCCACCGCTTGTGCAGGGAAAGCCCCTGGAGGGCCGGGCCGGTTTGTTTACCTGCCGCGTCTGCAGGTTCGGCCGATCGCGGCTCCCACTGGCTGTGGTTCACTGCTCCAGGCCAATGGGAGCTGCTGGAAGCGGCGCAGGCCGAGGGACGTACTGGCCACCGCTTCCAGCAGCTCCCATTGGCCTGGAGCAGCGAACCGCAGCCACTGGGAGCCGCCATCGGCTGAACCTGCGGATGCAGCAGATAAACAAACCGGCCCGGCCCGCCAGGGGCTTTCCCTGCACAAGCAGCAGAACAAGTTTGGGAACCACTGGACTAGAGTCTAGCCAGCATTGGTTCCACTATGCCCTAATACGCTCCAAGTTTCCAACCTTTAAAATGTCATAACAGCTGTGGCCTATTCAATAACCACACTATATTGTGTGGCTAGCTGTGTAACACCTTTTTATCAATTGTTTCATTTTGCCCTTTGCAGTTGGAACACCCTGTGCATCTTCAAGACTTATTCCTTTCTTGTGGTTTTTATAGTCGAGCCAATCACAAGCACAAAAAGAACCTTAAACTGCTGTAAAAATCAGTTATGCCATAGATCCCCTTCCATTTCTTTTAGGCCGGGGTACGTGCTGCATAAGTTTAATATGCTCAAAGCCAAATATATCTCTTGTTTCCCTTGACACAACCATGAGGGATGCTGGGAGCTCTCCATCTGGCGACATTCCTTTCCAATGATCTGTGTAAACCTCATGGCCAGTTTCTGTTACTAAAGATCCCATGTCACCTTTTTGGATGAATGAGGGTGAAAATCTTAATTTCCCAGTTAAATTCCAGTTTGGGTAATTGTGTGGTAATTGTAAATGGAATTTGCTGTTTCAAGTGGGTATGGAATTCTTCACTTTCCTAAACTGTTTTGTAGTGCTGCTGTGTGTTGTTAAACTACCTCTCCATTTAATTCCAGAGGTGATTGTATTTTAGTAAAACTCAGCATTTTTACAGCCCTTTATATACTGAAAGTACCATGTCGGCACTAATTCCCATAACATCCTTGTGACGTAGAAAGAGTAATCATTATTATTCCCATTTTACAGATGGGAAACTGAGACTGAAAGGTGAAATGACTTGCCTCAAAATATAGGGAGGTTGCAGTAGAGCTGGGATTAGAATTCAGGCCTTTGACTCCCCACATTATGTTCATGCCAACAAATCCTTGGGATGTGGGGGAAAGTAGAGAGAGGATTAGTGACAGAAAAGCTACTTTCCTTCTGATTCCTGGGTGCAAGCTGGTTTCATGTGCTAGTTCAGTATTAAATTTACATGTGAAGAGAACTACATTCAGTAGGTTTCTGTAGTATGTTGGTCATTCTGCAGGTGGAGGATCCATCCCCAAAGTAATGCTTAAGAAAGTACCTGTTTTAGGAAAAAATTTGATTTTTAGTAGACAGCAATTTCTTTAAATTATTCTGTACCCACAAATTGTTCTTCTCCTGGGAGAGAATTGTAACCCATTGTCTAGTTAATGCTGTAATCACGCTGGTATGTTCAAATTGTATGTAGTCAGCCACTTCACAATACTGCTTCACCATAGATGCAGTAAACATCGAAGTGTAGTTCTCAATTTGAAGACGCTAAGGTACTTGGAGGGTAAAGGCAGCCTTGGTTTAGCATCAGAGACTATATTTTTGTCATCTAGTTTCATTTCATTTGCGACTTAAACCAGTGGTTCTCAACCAGGGGTTTACGCAGAGGTCTTCCAGGGTGTACAATACAGCAGTTCATCTAGATATTTGTCTAGTTTTCCAGCAGGCTACATAAAAATCACTAGCAAAGTTACAAACTCAAATTTCATACAGAAAATGACTTGTTTATACTGTTCTATGTACTATACACTGAAATGTAAGTACAACCTTTATATTCCATTTGATTTATTTTATAATTGTATGGTAAAAATGAGTCAGCAATTTTTCAGTAATAGTGTACTGGGACACTTTTCGTATTTTTATGCCTGATTTTATAAGCAAGTATTTTTTAAGTGAGGTGAAACTTGGGGTACGCAAGACAAATCAGACTCCTTAAAGGGTACATCAGTCTGGAAAGGTTGAGAGCCCCTGAAAAACCAATGAGGTCTCAAAGTGATTATGGAGTAATGATAGTAGCCCCATAGTTAAGGTTGCAGCAGAGGTTCTGTTTAAAATGAATCTAGTACCCTCTCCTAAACCGATATGATATGCTATATGTATAGTCAGATCAGCTTGAAAAGTAGCATGACAGTTCAAAGGCCTAGGTAGCCCTATTCTGAGGGCTTAAGCAGGATTTAAGTGACACATAGGCCTTGTGCTGACTCTCTGCATGATGGTGAATTTCACCCTTCATGACAAGTAAATGTCTGGCACTGAACACTGGATGAAGCATGTTTCATGCTAAAATCTTTAAAGCTCCCAGGGTTCACGAACACTTTCACAAAAACCCAGTGGCTTTCTGAGTACTTATGAATCATACGGTCCCACAAATCATAGTAAATCAAACTCAGCCTTTTGATTTGTCAAGATGTTTGAAAAGAAATGTTTCACTAATCTACCAGGTCTAGTTCTAACCACTTCTGGTCACTAATGACTCCATAATAATAATTATTAATAAAAAATTAATAATAATTTATAATTAATTATGTAAGAATAGGATGCTAATTCCAGTGTTCTGACAAAACTCCATTTTGTGTGATTTACATTCTGCCAACTTAAAATACCTGTTGGTGTTATAACTGGATAAACACTTCTCCACTTCTTTCCTAAATTGTTGCATCAGCTGGTATGTCCTTAGAAGTAGTGGGTGAAATGATCTCTGTGAGTAGTTTGTATAAATATGTGAAATGCTGAGGGATCCTTTGAGGGAAGGTGTCCCTTCATTTTGAGATTATCATTACAATGTAACAAGGTTCTTCTGTGTATCTTGGACATAATACTTTACAAAATTATATGTGCAGATACATAAAGATCCCGGCCATGCTTTCAATTAGAGATTTTATTTTTTAATGAGGCTTGGAAGGATTAGATTTTTATTGGTAAATGTTGATAAAGGTCGATTGCACCATACATACAAAAACTGATGAAAATATATTTCCAGTGATGAAAATCAGAATTTTACAGATAGGCAAAGTTTAAAAAAAATGCAGTTTGAGAACTTATTAACATTTGATTTTAGGATATTAACTCTGTATATTTTGACATATGATGTTGATAACTTGTGCTTTAAAGGACTTTTTGAATGTCAGTGTCTATTGTCATTAAGTAATTATTTCCTGCAACTGTGAAAATGTTTTTGGATGTTTTTCTACATTTTCAAATATACTGATTTTAATTATAACACAGAATATAAAGTGTAGAATGCTCACTTTATATTATTTTTTATTACAAATATTTGCACTGTAAGAAAGATAAATAAAAGAAATAGTATTTTTCAATTCACCTCATACAAGTCCACTCCGTCCTACTTCTCACTCAGCCAATCGCTAACACAAACAAGTTTGTTTACATTTACGGGAGATAATGCTGCCCACTTCTTATTTACGTCGCCAGAAAATGAGAACAGGCGTTTGTATGGGACATTTGTAGCTGGCATTGCAAGGTAATTACATGCCAGATATGCTAAACATTTGTATGCCTCTTCATGCTTCGACTTGTAGGCTTTAAAGTTTTACATTGCTTTTGTTTTTGAGTGCAGTTATGTAAAGAAAAATCTACATTTGTAAGTTGCATTTTCACGATAAAGAGACTGCACTACAGTACTTGTATGAGGTGAATTCAAAAATACTATTATCTTTCTTACAGTGCAAATATTTGTAATAAAAATAATATAAAGTGAGCACTGTACATTTTGTATTCTGTGTTGTAATTGAAATCAATATATTGGAAAATGTAGAAAAACACCAAAAATATTTATAATTAATTTAAATTGGTATTCTACTGTTCAACAGTGTGATTAAAACTGTGATTAATCACAACTATTTTTTAAATCTTGCAATTAATTGTGATTATTTTTTAATTGTTTGACAGCCCTAATATATATTAAAAATTAATTTCTACCAAACCTATTTTTAACATCCTTTGTTTTGCATTTCAGTGGCTGTTCCCTCAGCCATGCCAGCTTCTGAGCCCAAGACTAACGGGCACCATCCAGCTCCACGACTCTCTGTTTCTTCCCGGACCACTGTGGTCGCCACCATGGAAACCACCTCCCAGGGCTTGCAGACAGTCATGAAGTGGAAAACGGTGGTGGCCATCTTTGTTGTGGTTGTAGCTTACCTGGTAACTGGAGGTCTTGTCTTCCGTGCCCTGGAGCAGCCTTTCGAAAGCAGCCAGAAAAATACGATAGCCTCAGAGAAGGCGGATTTCCTTCGGGAGCATATTTGTGTGACCCCACTGGAGCTGGAGACTCTGATTCAGGTGAGACATGTGAGGAAGACAGCAACTCACGGTGAAGGAGGAAACTTTTTTTTTTTTTTTTTTTTGAGCCTCTTCCTGGAAGTTCTGAGAAATGAGCTTAATATTTCATTGCTAAGTCCAGACCACAGGGTGACTGGAGGGCTCAGGGGGATTGGCAATGAGGTAGGGCGCATTCCAGCTTGTAGTCTCTGGTTTGAATCCAACCCAAATGGGTAGTGACAGAAGTTATCACCTGAGAGCTGTTTGGTGGCCTGTGTGAAATGAATTGGTCTCATTCCAGGTTCCACTCAAGAAGTGTTGGTATTGCCAACATTCACCATCCCAACTGGCAGCCTCAACAGAGGGCTCAAAGACCAAATGGGTATAAGGACTTGATAATCCTCTTTAGCTGGTGCCTCCCAGTCAAGATAATGTGAAAAGGTCTGCATTGCTGCTGGCTGTGCGGTACATGTTCCTGTTTGCAGTGCTTCTAATCTGGCAGCTTTCACCAATGCTGAATTCACATTAAAGCATCATTTATTTGTTGTTAGGCCTGTGCACACTAACGTAAGAACATTTACGGCTTGACTGATAAAGCTGGGGTTCATTAATAAGATGACTATTCATTTAATAAATGAGTCATAAATAAATCATACACCAAAAGTCCAGAATTATTGTAGTGAAAATCTGTTTTGATGAGGAAGATTAGAATTTCACTTCAGAAGAGTGACAACACTTGCTTTATTCTACAGTAGTGTCGAGGGGGCCATATTCTGTGCTGGTGTAGATCATCTGAAGTCAGTGAGGATACACTGGGGTTGAATTTGGCCTGATGTGTTTGGCATTTCAGTCTGAGAATGTTCTATCCCTATTTACTGGGAGCAGCTCAAATTGCAGCACTGAACCTCAATATTGAGGTACATGAGTGAGCTTTATTGATGAGGTCTGCAGTGCATAAGTATTCACACGCCAAAGCATAGCTCCCAACATTTCAAGTGGCTAACGTGGGACACAGCGCCACTTATGTCTGGCCCCTCTCCCCCTCCATAGCTAGAGACAGAGGTGTGTATGGGCCAAATTTGGTTGGCATTGTAATCTAGCACACTTTGTTGCAGTACCACTCAAATTTGGCCTGTGAGCCCCTCCATCTGCATCTATCGAGGGGTATGTCCTGAGTGGTGCTGCAATCCTGTGTGCCAGGTCACAATGCCACTTGGTTTTGGGGCCCTCTCAAACAGGGAGCCTGGAGACTCCAACCTCCCATCCCAAGTGCCCCCGAATGCAGAAATAGTCACTTCAACTGAGGTAGAGGGTTTTGGCATTCAAAGTGGGATAGTCCTGAAAAACCTGGGACTGTTGGGAGGTCTGCTCAAGTCCTGTCCTAACCTTCATTAGGCTCAGCGCAAAACCTGTGATGGATTTTGTGGCAGACAGCCTCTTTTTAGTTTCATAGAAATTTAGGTCAGAAGGGACTATTATGATCATCTAGTCTGACCTCCTGCACAACATAGGCCACAGAATTTCACCCACCACTCCTGCAAAAAACCTCACACCTATATCTGTGCTATTGAAGTCCTCAAATCATAGTTGTTCAGTGTTCTGACCTGGAGTCTGGAGAGGATGGCCCTAAAACATTGTAGGTGGATGTTCAGATCTATTCTCAAATGCAGTGCAAAATGTTTGCAAGCAAACTTGAAACTATTTTATACTCACCTGGAATGGAGTTTTGTGATGGATCCAGAACTGAAGCAAGAGGCTTGCTTAGGTTCACAAAACCTTTGCATGAAGCTGAACCCAATTCCTCCTGCCTGGTCAAACTGTTGAGAATCTCACAACTCTATAGTTCACAAGAGGAAACTATACATATTTTAAAAGTGTATAAATTTTGACATCTGGCAATTGCTTATCTTATATCTTGCTCTCGCAGAATTATGTTATACCCAACTGAGAAAAATGTAGCAACGTATATATTTTATACCATGAGATTAATTTAAGGCCTATATACATGTTACTGATGGACCTGACCATCAAATTGCAGATCTGAATTTGCATCTGCATCTCCCCAAAGCACAGTGTGTTCAGTTCTGGTGTTTTTCTTTATAAGAACATATGTACAGGCAGGAGTTCAGGATGAAGGTGGAACCTGGACTTGTATCTGAACTTTTCCAAGTTGAAAGCTTCTGGTCTGGGATTTTTGCTCTGATCCATTTCTAATACACATCATGTGAGGGCTACTGAGGTCAACATTTCCTGCTATTCTTGAGGTGCAATACATAATGGAGCAGTTCTAGGAATGAATATTAAAGCAAGAAATTTGTGTGCTGTATGTGTGAAAGTCAATGATGAAAGATATGCAAAGTTCTCGTTTTTCTAACAAACACTTTTTCCTGCCTATTAGAAATTCTATCTCAACAGGATGCTAAAGACTGCTGCCTATAGAGTGCAACACCAGGATATTTCTTAATGTCATGTAGTCTGAACCAGGTTTCAGTTCTCAAGTGTACACAATATTTTGTCCTTTCTTTTACCTTAAAAGGTGGTGGCATTAATCTCATATACAGGCAGGTTGTGTCACTGCAAGTCAGATATTCTGAACAAACCTTATCTCTCATAAATTCAGTTTGTCCTCAGGCATTTCACTGGCTAACTGGGAATCATTTCTAAATAGTAAATTAAACAGGTTTAGCAGAGTGACATACTGAATAGCTTAAGGCCAGCTAGTGTAAAATATTAAAATGTATTTTCTCAATAAAGAAGCATTCTATTTGAATGACTGGGAATAGGTAAGCATGGCTCACAGCTGTGGTGAAATATGATGATACATTATAAAGCTGCACTTGTAACTGAGCTGAGTGTAAGAACACAAAACAGTGTTTCAGATTATTGTCAAGGGGTTAACATTTTTGCTTTCTACCTTTTATGTTGATTTTAAAAAGTGACATCTTCCCTTGCTGGAACAGTGGATTACTGCAGTGCATCAAGTGTTGGCCTGCCTGTAAGACCATAGTTCAGAATAATGGAACTGATGGGGTAACCTCCTTGGGTCTTGGCGGTGTTACATGTCTTCATCTCAAAGCTACACTTAGGGGTGATGTTTATTATTAATTCAATTAGACTAACTTTCATTGTGTAGATGAATGCATAGATCATACTCCCTAGAGTTATAATGAGGACTCAGCTCTGAGCTACTGGAGTACATTCTCATGGAACAGATCCATAAGGGGAATGAAAGGGAGACTTTAACCATAGGCCAGGGTCTGTGCTCTTTCAAGCTGGAGTAGCCTTTGTTAGAAGGGGGAAGTAAGGAGAGGCTGTAGAGAGGAGATGAAGCCTGTGATGAGTTTGCAAGGTCAAACCTCTGACCTGAGCCCTAGGTCCTATGTCCCCTGGAAGGGTCTTGCCTTGGGAGGCAAAGCACAGAAGGAAAACACATGGCAGCTGCGTGGATCTAGGAGAACCTCGGTGTGGCTGAAAGGTGCTCTCCACACTGATCCCCTCTTCTGCATTCCAAAAACATTTGTATTATGGCACAAACACTACTTGTTTTATTGAGAGAGACCAGAGATGACCCCAGGCTGTGAAGTTCAGATGTGCAGGTGCTCAGATACGACTGATAAATGCAGTATAAATGTCTAGATCGGGGGAATCCAGATCCAAATAGCCTCAATAGCCTGGTCAGATATAGGGCTTTTGTTTCACCTGTTATAGAGACAGGGCCTGTCCATGAAATTCAGGGAAAGACGTGAACTTCTCAAAGTTTGTGTTTGCCAATGGCATTCAGTTCAGGCCTATCTCAAATACTGATGCCTGCTGCGGTACAGGGTACAGAACAGTTTCTCCTAGCAATAACTACATTGTCTCACTGCACAGCTGGTGTTATCCCAGTTTGCCTGAAGTGAAAGTTTGTAGTTTTGTCAGCACACAACTGCTTCTTAATATGAATATACTGCAGTGAAAATAACTCATTAATTAGTGCTTCATGCAATCTATGACCTGGCTTCAATGATATTATAAACTATTGTAAATATAGAGGAGTGAGGAATGGACAAAATCAGCTATTGCACTACTTTTTAATTGCAGCCCCTTCGGATGTGGGTACTTTCATTAGATTGATCTGAAATTGAATTTTGAGAGGAAAAAAGAAAGAAAAAGGTCTAATGTAGTAAAAAGAAAACAGACCTGACTGCCTCTGTTGAGTTTAGCTCTCTGATTCCCATTTGGATAAAGTGATATAAGATTCAACAAAAGATTAGACAATTATTTTAATAAAAATAAGATCTGCAATTACACTTGCTAGGGTAAAATCACCAGGATTACTAATCCTCATGGTTCAGGGCCTAAAATAATCAGTACCCTCTCTTTATAGTGTTGCACAATGTGAGTGCATTATGAGGAGGTTCCACCTGCTTCTGAAGTACTAGGCATTACCCTTTGTTGGAGACAGAGTAGAAGACTAGATAGACGATAGGTGTATTTTGGCATGGTAATTCCTTTGGGCATGGTTACCAAGGCTGGGCTCCATAAAGTAATTTAGGTGTTGCAATGGCAGCATCATGGTCCCTAACTTTTAGGTGCCTAGAAAATCGCAGTAATACATCACTGTAATCCACAAAGTCTGAGTTAGGCTTCTAGGCTCCCTGTACAATGAATGGAGAGAGGCAACTAAGAGTGTGACCCACAAAAGCCACCATGCTAGGCTGGGAGCAGCTTAAGCCAGCCATTGGGAAATGCCCACTAGAGGGGTGTGTGCTAAGCCCTGCTCCTCTCTCAGAGATAGATGTCTAGCTGCAGGGAGGCACCTAGCCCTTTTAGCAATCCATGGACAGGACCCTGCCACCTGGAGCTTAGGCGGCAGATAGGCATCTAGATGCCTAGAGGGAAGCAACCATGTGCTTCCTCAAAGGCTGAATCATAGGTGCTTAGGCAACTTTTACCTTGAAAACTTAGGAACCGAGTGAGTCTAAGCACCTACAGGGCTCAGCAGGAGTATTGTGGATTGCAGTGGAGTCAAAACTGGGATT